ATATTTAACATAAACCAACCTTTTAAGATATGCGTGAATAGTACCTGCAATGTTTATGAAATTGATTTATTACTATTTTTATTATTATCATTATTATTACTTCAACATGGCTAAAACTCTTTCCACACAATTCCTCTTTCTTTCAGGTCTGCTGTGGCATCTCAATGGCTTCTTACAATGGAATATTAAATTTCATTCAATAAACATTACTGAACATTAAATACATGCACTATGGAGAATAAAAAAGAAATAATATCTCTTGTCAAAATGTTAGAGGCTAATTGAGCTAAATCTATGTGCCCAAAGCTCAAAGACACAGCCTGTGTAGAAGGGAACTCAGAATTAGGGGAATAACATCATGAGCAAGAGCTGGCCTAGGCAAGTTGAGTTGAATTGTGTTTGCAGAGTGGACCTGGACAATGTCATTTCCAAACGGATGGAACAGTGTGAACAAGAGCCAAGAGGAAAGAATGCATAGATTGTGGAGATGGACCTGGTTGAAGTAGAAGGGCCATGAGCAGGGATAAATGGAGAGGTGAGGGGAGGCACTCGTTAGCGGGCCAAGCGGGCTGGCTGGCCAAGTGGTAAGTGACCAGCACAAAATTTGAGGAACTGGATTATGGGGAGGTCTTTTAGAAGGAGACTGCTTCTGTGAGTGGTAAGTGACTCCCCTACGTCCTAGGAAACATTAGACCAGTCTTGAATTAGCCCAGTGGTCCTCACAGCAACACGCCTCTTTTGATTACACCAGCTTCATTTAAGAGAGTTCTTACTGGTGAAGCACTTTACATGCACTATCACACTTGATGCTTATAACAACTCTGGGAAATAGGCATTCTCATCCATAAAAGATGAGAAAACTGCGACAGAGAAATCAAATAACTTGCCCATGGTCATCCAATTCAAGCTTAACCCCAGGTCTGTGACTTCACAATCCACACCCTTCACTTCTTCTCCTGCCTTCTTGATTAGCCCTACCTCGGTCCCACAGAGCAGTGGCTTCAAAAGAGTCATCATAGCACACACACATGTGCTTTTTTTTCTCATAAGGCATGTTGATTGAGTTAAAATTCAGTGTAAATTGACCATGCTAGGGTCCACATTCAGGAAACACACCAGTTTGATTTCGCTGGGCAAAGATCTTTGTGACTTTTCTGAATCCTTATCCACCTGCCAAGTGATCAGTGAGAAGCCACAAAAAGACAGTGAAATGAAAAGGATGTGAAAGGGAGTAACCGTCACACTCCACATCCTCTTTTCACATCCCTAATAGATGATCACCTGACCTTTGCCTGAACTCTCCTCCTGGTGGAGGTGATGGTTCAATTTCTAGAAGGTTCCCATCAGTAAAGCCAAACTGTCTTTGTACAACTCCTTCCATCCCCAGATCCTAGATCTGGCAAAATCGAATGTCAATGAAGGATGTCTTCTATATGGAAACCCTTAAAAACACTGCTCTTCATTTCTTTTCTGCTAGCTAAATATTCCCATATGACATGGTTTCTAAAGCACCTACCTTCCTCTTTGCCTACTCCACTTGCTGCCAAATTTCTCAAGTGTCTTAAGTGTTTAATGGATATGCTTTGAGGGTCAGCCCAGTGGCACAGTGGTTAAGTACGCACGTTCCACTTCTCGGCAGCCCAGGGTTCGCCGGTTCAGATCCTATGTGCGGACATGGCACCTCTTGGCAAAAGCCATGCTGTGGCAGGTGTCCCATGTATAAAGTAGAGGAAGATGGGCATGGCTGTTAGTTCAGGGCATCTTGCTTAGCAAAAAGAGGAGGATTGGCAGTAGTTAACTCAGGGCTAATCTTCCTCAAAATAAAAAAGGTAGTAATGGATATGCTTTGAGCAGTAGTGTGAACTGAAGTGACTGCCATTTCTAACTTGGACCTTATGTTTCTACAAATGCAAACTATTACAACTTATTTTACATTTTCAGCAAGCACAGTATGTGTTGGCTCTCATGAATTTTGTGTATCACCAAAACTCGAGTGTCATTCACTATAACTTGCAACAAACCTAGGTCTCACTTTGAACATACAAAATTCATTTATTGAACCCAAATGCACAACTTGATGTTTACCTATTATGAAGTGGTATTTTTGGGTTTGGTCCCACCCTTCCAGCCTAGAGACATCTACTTAAATCCTGATTCTGTGCTCTAACCAATATGCCATCTACAGGGAATAAGTAAGTGACACAATCACATACATATCTTCTTAGGGGTAGAGCCCCAGTGGACAAATTGATAATGTCTGAAGAATTTGGAGCCCACCCCTCTGAATCCCCCAGAGGACACAGCATGGCCTTCTGAGACGGACTTGGAAGAGTCCTTCCCTCCTGGAGGGATGTCTTAGAAGAATTAGACCTTACAGGAAGCTCTCCAAGGGTAGGGCTGAAAGGGAAATGCTGAGACTTCCCAACAAAGACAATGCTTAGAAGGGAGCATCCGTGAAGAAAGAAAACTCCTCCCTCTGAGAATAATTCCTAGGTGTGTCTCTGATCCCAGCTTCTAGACCTCCACCCTTGATTACTCAGACTTGATACTGGCCTTCCAAGACCAGCTCTAACGGGGAGGTTCCATCTGGGACCACTTCCCTGATCTTATAACCGAATTGCCTCTGCCACTCAAACAAGCTATCCACTCTCTCTGAATCCAGGTTGTTACTTAAAATGTCAAATAAGACAGGAAAGAAGGCATGCTACTAGAGACTTCCCACCAGATCACGGTGATCACATAGGACATACGATGATAAAGCAGAAAGAGCGATTTGTTTCATTTTGTTCTTCTGTACATATGACCCTTTAGAGAAAGAAGCCTGGTTTGGTGAGGATGCGGGAGTAGGGAAAAGCTAGTGTGTTTATTAGAACTTGTTAATAAGCTGAAATTGGCCACAATTCTCAGTTGGATGAGAATGTGCCAGAATCCAGGTGGGTTTAGGGGGAAGGCTTCTGAAAACTACATACCTCCTCCAACTCTCTTATGGGTCAGCATCTGCCACCATGATTGAGACAAATGTGATATATTTTTTCAGTTCTATTTGTTCTGAGAAAAGGAATGAGAACCCACAGGACTAGAGAGATAAACCCATAAGCCATAAGTCCCTTGCCCCACTGCTGTAGTCCACCGGTGGAGTCTGGTGTGAGGAATGGGTCCCTATGCCTGTGGACACGGTCATGCCGGATTCTTGTTATTGCAATTGCCAAGCCTTGGATATTCATGTTCATAGAGGCTTAGACCAGGGATGTAAGGTAGGATTCAACACAACAGACCTGCCCCAGAAACAACCTTGTTAGTGTCACCCTTCCTTTTCAATAGGAGCATGAAGCCCTCTCCTTGGGCCTCTGCCTGCTGAAGTCAGTGCTGTGTTTTCAGGGATCTAAGGTCTAGACACGGAGAAATTATTGTGGCCACAAAACTTTTTTGTTTGATTATATGACAGCTCTTCTGAGCCTATATTGCAAAGTACCATAACATAGTCACTCTGAGGAAAAGAAGTGAATTAAAACTTGCGTGTGTGTTTCTGTGTGTATGTGTTTTATTTAACCTAAAAAGTATCTCAGAGCGACTGTAGACTGTTGGGTTTGCATTACTGCAAGCCCTGGTGTAGAATCAGTTCCAGATTTCACGTCACTGATACATACGTCACACAGAAAAGAACCAAACCCAACATAGAATTGTGATAATTATTTGGTTTAAAGGTACATATTATTGGAGAAATCAACATTTCTACGTTAACATAGACAACTTCTATATAAATATTGAAACCATCTCAGATAATCTTTCACTTTCAGCAATTTGTATTATACATCATTAGTCTTAAAAATATTATTAAATCCTCAATATAATTGGTTGTTGAAAACAAACTGAAGAGCTATAAACAAGTTACTTTACATGAAATTCTCTTAGCTTATTGGATTTAGTTTTTGAATATTTAATAATATTTCAAAGATATGGAAAAATATAAAAATAATATAGCAGATATTTATGTATATTTGGCTCAAATTCTAATAATATAATAGAGCCGGCACCATTAAGTTCAGTAAAGTTTCCCAAGTTCACTTCCCATATCAATTCTATTTTCAGTACAATAATTAGAACGCTTTCAAAGTGAAGGGGAGAGATTGATGGCGATCATGGCTGTGGTTTGCGCTTCAGGTTTTGATAACCCTTTCAGCCAGTGTCCCATAGGGTGAATGAACGACAGAAATATGCCACTATCTAGGGAACCTGAGCAACAGACGCGCTAAATCTGAAAACATTCAGGCCAACCGGTCCTTAACTCCACAACAGGTTTCGATACTCTCCTGCGCCCAGGGGTCTCGGTGACTGCCTAAACTTTCGTTTCATTGGGCAATGAAGACTTTATGAATTACCATATGCCAAATATTTTTTAAAAACACAATAAAAATTATATAGCGCTAATCTCTCTGACCCCCAACTATAAGAAAAAACAAAAAGCTTAGCATTTGACTGCTTTGACTCAAATAGCATGCCGATATGAAATCTTGATAGAAAAGGATTTTTGTTCTCATTTAAAAATGACAATCTGTACTCTGCCTGAAGTGGGTCCCCATAATTCTCAGTATGAATTTCATTTTATAAAAATTCCTGAAGGTTTTCTTTGGAGCAGGTAAAGCCAAGTTTCTTCTTCTTTTTTTTTTTTCTTACATAAGGAAACAATCACAATTAAGGAGCAATAAAATAAAGTACCACAGTAGCATGTTTCTTCAAACAAAGTGACCTAATCAGCCCTCAGGGTCTGTGGCAACACAGGGGGCAATTACCCAGAAGAGAAACTCTAGAAAAATTACTTCACGCCACCGGGACTTTGCATTTCAATCCTTACGTATATTAAATGGAGAGTCCCAGAGAAGTTGCCCCTATGTCACAGCTGCCCCTTATTAACCAGCACTAAGAGTTGGTAAGAGAGCCCAAAAGCACCAACTCGGTTTAAAACAAAAAAACTAAATTAAAAAAATAAGGCCAAACCTTACCAGAAAGGAGCAAGCTGACTCCGTAGAGAACTAAGCCAGCTAAAGAGTCCATGCTTCCCCAGATCTCTCCATCCAGGTTCTGCAGATGTGCATGAGGTCCCAAGGATCCTTTCAAACACCCAGAGCTTTCTGACTTTCCATTCGCGTGTTCTACTAGGTCTTGTTTACAAGTCAGAGGCAAGAAGGAGCAGCACAGAAGCAGGCTGTAACAGTCTCATTTCTGTCTGAGCACAGGGAGTTTTAAGTTCCTTTTTCCTGTTTCCTTTGTAGATTAGGATGGGAAAGGCTGTATCTTAAAGGCATTTGGTATCAGCAGAGCTGGGGGCACCGTGAGCCCTATCCATCTTGCAATTCATCAAAACACTTATCTATTGCTGTTGCTTCTGCTGCTGCTTTTGCTGCTGCGGTTGTAGGGGTAGAGGAATTTTTGTTGGAAGTGTGGGTCCTGGTCAGCATTTTCAGAAACAATAGGGGTATCCTCTCGTGGGCGGGAACGGAGAATAACAAGCCCTCCACCTATGTATGGTATGCGATGATGGCCCCTCTCAGCCTTCTAACGGCTCTCCTGGGTCCCCTTGGGAGGCCTGACAGAGGGGGCTTTAGGGTGTGGGAGTAGTTTTTGCTTTTGTTTTCTCATTTTAACCACATGGTTTGAATTGGGAAAAGAAGTTTTCGTGTGAGGAGAAAACACAACCCACAAGGCAATTAATTTAGGTAATTACCGGTGAGGTCAACGCTCAATGTGGCCACAGAGACCAGAGTCCAAAATTGTTAGTCTGTTTTCTTTCACACAGATGGTTTATTTGTTGGCCAAGAGCCCAAAGATATCCATGCTACTGGCTATTGCTTTAGTTTTTATTAACAATTCATCTGAAGGTGATCTAATCTCTTAAAGAATTTGGCATAGAAATCAGCAAGGAGAGGGATTTTGTGGTTATTAGCCAAGGGTGTTTCAGAAGCAAATTATATCCAAAACTTTTTAAAATAACCTATGTAAAAACCAAATATAAGTGATTGGATTGGGATAAAAATATTATTCATAAGAGCAGAGAGAGGCCGAAAGGAAGATAGCTATCGGAGTCACCTTACCTAAAATGAGAGAAGACACCCCAAATTTCTCCAGATGGCAATTTCTCCATAACACAAACTATGACCTTAGAATAGAGTCCATACTCTGTCCATCACCCTGCCCTCATACTTGAGGAAAGAACCGTCTACTCCTCCTTTTCCTACTCACCACAGGAAAAGGCAGAGGCTGCTAGTCTTGCCTAATTTCTGTCCCAGGTTTTAGCACATCAGCGATGACCTTGAGAACCAACTGATGTTTCCAGTCTGCTGGGGTGAAGAAGCTCAGGCTCTGTTTGCAAGCAGACCTGGATTCAAATACGGGCTTGGCCACATATGTGAGACAGGTTATTTAACGTCTTTGAGCCTCAGTTTTTAACAGCTGTAAAATGGCAATAATATCGCCATCATGGGGATTTTTGAGAGGATTAGATGAGGTTTAAAAGTACGTAAAAACATCTGGCACTGTGCCTAATTCACAGACGGCTTTCGTGAAATGTTAACATACTCATTTCCTTTTGTCTTTCCATTCTGTCTCTGATTTCAGTCCCAGAGTTTCCACTAGAACGCCATTCTCTATTCCCACAGGATGGCTTTAAGTTTGGCCTTGTGAACAACCATTCCAGGAGTCAGGGATTCTGGGTTGTAGTCCCAGCTCTGCTGTGATTGGCCTATGAGGCCCTGGACAAGTCATTTCCCATCTCCAGGCTTCAGTTTCCTCAGTGTAAAATGAAGGATTTAAACTGGATGTGACTAACTTCCCTTCTGATTGTAACACCTCCTAAGTCGGAATGACTACATTGTCCTACTCTCAGCATCCCCAAGTTGATTTCCAGGTCCCTTCATCCAGGCAGTTCCAAGAAGATACTAGCTTTGTATTTCTGTCACTGTGAAAGCCTGAGAGGGTCACAGATGTGCCCTATTTTAAGAACATGGTGGCTGAGACTTTGGGAGGTCCACTGGCCCCAGGCCATATGGAGCAGCAGTGGAAGGCTTTGGAAATAAACAAACTCTAGAGCACCTGCCTCCCCAGGCACAGCTTCCTCTGTTCGTGCTTGATGGCCACACAAGGAAGTTGTCATTGCTCACAGTCCCACCTGCTGGCTAGTTCTTTCTTGGAGGCTGAAGGTGTTACTACCTTGCTTCCTTTTCTGGGCTGCCTCCCTCTTATCCAGAAAAGTGGTTCAGTTTCATCCTTCCCCCATTATCTGGAATGATCTATCCTTACTCAGAATTGTTAGTCATGTTCTTCCTCTCTCCATTATCCAGAAAGAGTGACTCTGTTTCATTCTTCTCTCTGTAATCCAGAAATATTGTTCAGTTAATTTATTTCTCCATTATCCAAAGAGCTATGCAGTTTAATCTCCTCTTCCAGGACCAGGATCCAGAAAGATTATTCCATTTAATTCTTTCCACTGTTATCCATTTAGTAAATACTGCTGGATTTCCCGAGCCTATGACTATACAGCTAGTCAAAAGGCTGAGCACCTTTTCTCTGGGATGTCTAAATCTTTAGTACGTAAATTCCAGGTAAAGTGAAGATACCTTGTGGACAAAAGTATCCAGACATGCTCTGCTCCGGCTTTCTGCTCCATGGATTTTAGAACATGGAGAACCAATCAAGGAACAATGACACGAGCTTCGCCATGCACTGTGGGGCCAATAGGTCAGCAGAGCTGACTGGCACCAGGTTGGGAAGTTGCAAAACTGGATGGTATGCCAGGATTTCCAAGGGAAGGGAGAGGCCACATCCATGTCTGGACAGGACTTTCCCCAATACATAACGTATTAAGGAAATACCACACAGTTGGACATGGCCACAACCCCTCTCTAGAAAGCTGGCTGTGGCCATCATCAGGGCATCTCCATTCCCTGAAGAGCCATGTTGGGGACCAGCTGGATCCGCTCTCTACCCTCAGCTGCTCCATCCACCTGGAATGGTTGAAATGCTCTTTCTATCGTTGACTGACTAACTGCTAGTTAGGTTCCAGGTCTCAGTCTGAAAGGTCATCCCTGACTGTTCAATCCAAATTGTCTCCCCTGTTGTTCTCTCACAACACCCTGTAATTTTTTCATGGTATAAATCACAATTGATAATCATATATTCACATTTGTATTGTTTTCAATGTGTCTTTCCCCCCAGTTGACCACAATCTTCATGATGCAAAGACCATGTCTAATCTATTCACCACTGAAGTCCCAGACCTGAGCACAGTGTCTAGCACATAATAGGTCTTAAATAAATACTCAGTAAACTAAGAAATGAAAATAATCCCATTGTTACTCATAGACTCATATCTAGAAAAGGCTTTGGAGTCAGGCAAACCTAGATTGCATGTTATAGCTGTAATTTACTCTCTGCATGACCTGGGCAATTTAATTCACGTCTCTGAACCTCAGGCTCCTCATCTTTAAAATGGGGGAAAATAATGCATACTTAGCGAGATAATATATGCACAGTATCTGGCACAAGTATCTATTTAATAAAGGCTCCCTACAGGTTCCCTCCCCACCCACAACCACCACCACCACTCCTGGACTATTACACGGACCTATCGGCAATGAGGAAAGGAAGTCCTAAACAGGCAAAGTAACTTGCTCAGCTGTGAGTAGCAGAGGCAATGTTAGAATCCTGGTCTCTTGGCCTCCGATTTTTGCAAGTTTAATGTATGACTCTTTTTTTTCATAGCTCACCTTTAGACCACAGTGTACAGAAATGTAGATAAAGAGAAATGTAGGAAACATCCCAAACACCAGGAGGGTACACCCAGGCCTTAGAAAGAATTTGAAATGGAACTTTGACAGATAATGGAAAAGTTCAATGACACTGAGAAATGCCATCAATTCTCACTGTGCTTCCATGACAGTAGTAACTAATATCAGGATCTGTGGGTCTCCACTGCCTTGCTCCAGGGAATGAAAGGGGGATTCCTCATGAGCCAAGCTTACTCAGCTTAATTTGATTTTTCCAGACACACTGAGAGCAGAACAAAAATAAAACCAAACCAATGAACGAGTGAACAAGGCACTCGGCTGATATTCGATTTTTAGTCTGTGCTTTTTGCACTCGATATATGAAAACACACCTATAGAAAACATTAAAAGTCTTTGAGATACATGAACAAAAATATCAATGGATAATAAAAAATGTTTGTGAAGGGGTGTAGAAAATAACTTACACAGCGTTACTGTAAACTGGTACCACACGTCTAGAGGTCGGTATCACAAACACATAGCACTTATCCTTTGGCTCAGAAAACCCACTTTTACGATACACCCCAAACCCAAATCAAAGATGTGCCTCCAAATTTACGTATAAGGGCCTTATAGAAGCATTGCTGATAATAATCAAAGCGTATAAACAATCTAAATAGCCAACAAACATGGATTATTTATATAGATCATGGCACACCATGAAATATCGGACAAATGTCAAAATGTTGTGGTGGAAGTATATACTGACATGGGAAGATGTAGAGATGTTTATAGTATATTGTTGATTGAGAAAAAACAGTTTGAACAACACGAAATTTCTACACATACACATGCACAGACATATATAAGACAACTATACACCAAAATGTTAAAAGTTATTATTTCTGGGTTGTCAGAAACTGATTTTTATTTTCTTTTTAAATAAATTTCTATAATTGCAACATTTTAAAAAATAATGGGCACATGTGTACAAATGAAGAAGACTGAGGGGAAATCCTTGAGACGGCTGACCCAGGGCAGGATGTGTCTTAAAACACCCACTGGCAAATAAGGCACAGAATCCAGTGCACCTCAGCCCACAGGAGGTGAGCCAAAAGATCGGGGTGTTGACTTCGTGCAGCGCAGTCTTGGCCTTCTGCCTTTCGTGTGGCTGTGGGCACTGAACTTCCAGAACAATCACATCTGGCATCTTAAGGACTGTCATGAGTTTTTCTGTGAATCCGCAGTACGCAACCGTAGCTAGCAGAAAAGGAAGGGACATCAACAATTAAGTCTTGGTCTTCAGCCAGGACACCGCAGTTGAGTGGCAACACCCACTCTGGTCTGGAGTGGAGCTGATGGCTATGGAAAATACCTGACCCCCTCTGAACCCCATTTACTCGAAACCTTTTTTTTTCACGTCTAAATGGCAAGCACTGCGCTAGTCACTGTAGGATAAGACACAGATATAGAAGATGTGGTAGCTGCTTTCGAAACTCACAATTACACAATCCCAGCATGGCACAATGCATCAAAACAGGAAAAGTTAAATAAAATCAAGCATTGTGTGGCTAAATAGCAAAGGGTGGTACTGGAGTAAAAGTTTTAGTAGTCTTTGCTTTGGTATCCTTTAGGCAATGAAGCCAGTTCTCATGCCTTTTTTTCTTCTCCTACTAATGCTTGGCACACATGGCATCTTTCCAGATAGACTGTAAGCCCCTTAAGGCAGTGGTTCTGGACTTTATTTCAGATGATCCTGTGCTGTTCTCTCAATGGCTTAAGGGAAAGAGTCATTAAGACACCCCACAACCACCATGAGACCAATTTGCCACAGACAGAATAGACTGGGGGAAGTATTTCCGTGACCCCCTCATCAAACAAAATCTTAGAAAAAGATAAAAATATAAAAGAAAAAGAAACTCCTATCCATCCTTCAAAATACACTTCAAATGTCACCTCATCTGTGAAAACTTTCAGTAGGTAGTTATTGATACCTAATAAACCAACCCATGACTTAGTGGCTTCAAACAACAAACATTTATGTAGCTTATGATTCTGTGGGTCAACAGCTCAGGCTCACCTGGACAGTTCTGAGCTCAGCTGGCCTCCCTCATGTGTCTGCAGTTGAATGTCAATCATTCTCTAGTTCAGCTTCAGAGATGGGCTGACTGTCTGTGTGGCAACAGGGTTGAAGGAGCCACAGATCTCTCATCCTCCAGCAAGCTAGCCTGGTTGTCAATATGGCAGGCTCAGAAATCCAGTGGAGTGCATGGAAATATGCAAGTTCTCTTGAGGCTGTCAATTAAACAAGGAGGCTGTTAGACTGGCCATTAGAGCCGTGGCCGCCCACCTAAGCAAATCAAAATCTAAGCCTGTAAATGCCTCAAGGTTGGGAAATCAAAACACTAAGGACAACCAACCACAAACAGCCAACTAGGCTTTAAGCTAGAGCCAATCAATCATTTCTTTACCTTGCTTCTGCCTTTTCTCTATAAAAGCTTCTCCCAGAACACCTGTGGGCGGAGCCCTCCTAACCACCTCCGGTTGGACACTGCCCAATTCCCACTGATTTTTGCTCAAATAAAACCTTAAAATTTTTATTATGCCTCAGTTTATCTTTTAACAAGGCCTAGGCTTAGAATTGGCATATCATTACTTCTGCCATATTCTATTCACCAAATCAAGTCACATGGCTAAGACCAGATCTAAGAGGCAGAAAAATAGACGTCACCTTTTGATATGAAGAGCTATAAAGTTATAACGTAAAGAGCAAGAATTAAAAAAAATGGAGATTTTTGGCGACTTTTTAAAAAGTCAGATTTGTTGATATATAATTTATATTCAGTAAAATTCATCCCCCCTTTTTTTAAAAATTGTGGTTTAAAATACACAACACAGAATTTACCATCTTAACCATTTTCAAGTGTACATTTCAGGAGTGTTAATTATAGTCACATTGCTGTGCAACAGACGTCTAGAGTTTTATTCATCTTGCAGACCTGAAATTCTATACCCCATTGAACAACTCCCCATCAACCCCTCCCCTCAGCTTCTGGCAACCACAATTCTTTCTGGTTTCTATGAGTTTGACTATTTTAGATACCTCATATAAGTGGAATCATACAATATTTATCATTTTGTGACAGCCTCATTTCACTTAGCATAACGTCCCCAAGTTTCATCCATGATGTAGCTTGAAATAAGATTTCATTCTTTTTAAAGGCCAAATAATATTCCATTGTATGCGTATCCCATATTTTCTTCATGCATTCATCAGTTGATAGGCATTTGAGTTGCTTCCACCTCTTGGTTATTGTGGATAATGCTGCAATGAACACCGGTATGCATATATCTCTTCGAGATCCTGCTTTCAATTATTTTGGATGCATATATACCCAGAAGTAGAATTGCTGGATAATATGATAATTCTATTTTTAATTTTCTAAGGAACCTCCACAGTGTTTTCCATAGCAGCTGCTCCATTTTATTTTCCCACCAACACTGCACAAAAATTTCAGTTTCTCTACATCCTTGTCAACACTTAATATTTTCTGTTTTTTTGATAGTAGCCA